AGATCCAATAGTGCAAAATGCAAATTCTTGCACTTTTTTGACTGGTCTTAAGATTTTGATCAGGAGTATATATATATATATATACAAGAAGTTGCTTTCTTTTGAAGGATCCTGGGAGCCTCACCTTGCCAGGCTGAACAATCAGGGTAAATACAACGCATGGAGCACTGAGAGGAACTCCAGTTGGGTTCAGGTATGAGCAGTGCAGTATATACCTTCACTAACTTCACACAAATTTAATCTACTTCCTGTGATCACTTTCTATAGGTGGACTTCCAGCGGCCAGTTGTGGTCAGCCAGGTGGCCATACAAGGTGCTAAACAGTTCCTTCAGTCCCAGTATGTGAAAGACTTTTCCATTTCATACAGCAACGACCGCCGCAAATGGATACACTATAAAGGTGACAGCAGAGACATCTCGAAGGTGGGGAAAGTTTCATCACCTTCTTTYAAAGTGAAGAAGTGTGCATCCTTTACTTATAACCTTTGTGTGCGTCTATGTTGTGATATAACCAGGTGTTTCCTGGGAACAAGGCAGCCTATGAGACAAAGATAAATACCTTCTTTCCTCCRGTGATTGGACGGTTTATTAGGCTCCACCCCATTACCTGGTACAATGCTGCCACGGTCCGAATGGAGTTCTATGGTTGTGAGCTTGATGGTAGGATGTTGTTGTTGTTGTGTGTGTTCATGTRTAGAAGTCTTTGTGTAGTGACTTCAGTTTTGATGCTAAGTGGCAAAATCTGGGTCTAAAGTTTTAGAAAACTCGGAAGGGTAAATAAAATTGTTCAGTTTAAACGATAATCAGAACTTATTGCCAGCAGTTTTTCATATTTTAATACCAGTGTTAAACTAAGATCAGCTTATGATAAAAAAAAAACTCTGTCCAGTGGTTCATGGGATCATTTGTTAATAGACAAACATGGTTAACTTCAACAGTTGCTTCAAAAGTAAAGAGACTATGCAATAAGTAGCCCTTGGATTATGTTTTGCGAATGACAGACACTAAACTGTAGCACCATATCTGTAAAACTGAGTAAACCATAGTGTTTTCTATGGTCCAGAGATTCTTAACCTGTGGGCCACAGCGCCACCTTGAGGGCCTCAAAAGAACAACAGTTTTTAACTTTGGGCCACAGAGGGCGGTGGGACCACATTGATTTTAAATAAGGTGTAATACACTTTCTCACCACTAGTAGCAGTAGTGCACCACTCAGATGTTTAACAATTTTTTAATATGTAGAAGAAGAACCTTAGAAACCTGCTGAGAATGGAAACTTATTTTAAATGAAAAGTAGAAGCAAAAATAAAGGTAACCCATCAAAAAACACCAAAGTTTGTCACTAATATGAAGACCAGCTTCTGGTTTTACCATGTGATATTAAAAGTTC